CCCGTAACTCCTACCACCGAACCCGCCGTCCGCCGCGCCGCCTTCGCCCCGTGCCCCGCCGTCCGAGGGTCGCGGGAGCGGGCGCGACGTGACGACGCGCGGCGAGCGCTATTATGTGTTTCGCGGTACGACTGCTATTAAAAGCGCGAGTAACTACGCGTAATTAGAAAGCAATTTCGAGTAATACTGGTAATTGCGAATTGGAGAAGACAGTCGTAATGAGAAGAAGCGCCGCGTCCAAGCGCCAGCGGATTGGTTCTTAAGAGGTGGAACGCCCTCCGTCACCAGGTCCTCAAACTTTGGACAGCAGAGCTTGGTCGAAAATTTAGGGAAAATTTGGGAAGAAATTAACCAGGCAAAAACCGCCACCATTCTCAGTTAATCATTCAAATTTAATCTTCCAACAATTTTGGGAATTTCTCAAGAAATCGTCTGTCAAATGTTGCGATTCCCAGTTTATAAATGAAAGGCAAATGATACTAGAAAATGTGGAATTTGGTGAGAAAATTAACTCATATTCACAGTTCAGCTATACACCGATTAAAATACTAGCAGAAGATTCCTAAACAGGATCAGAATTATTCGACCTGCAATGTCTAGGCGTTTCTTTCTTGTACATATCACTAAACTTTTGCATTGTCACTTAAACTTTTGTTCATTAAAAACAATGTACGCACGAGAATGGTTCCAGTAGAAGAAATATTTTTAGATAGAATGCTCAGTGGTGTTGAGTCATTAACTGGAACACCTCACGTCTGCTCTGCTGTTTTTTAACTATCCCATGACTTATAATCTAAGAATTCTATTCTCGCAATGAAACATAATGTTCCTACTTTATAATTTAGATTTTTCATATAAGGACAGTTCAAAGTGTTTGAATCGATTAGTTCAAAGAAATTCAAATGACCTCTAAAACACATATTATTCCTTTTCGCTAATATTGTGCTGGAAAGGGCTGTCAGCTGTTCATCACGTGGGAGATTCGTACGACCACTGAAAGTGTTCTGGGACCCAGGAAGAATGTTCGTCTGGTCTGAACGGTGGAGGTCAATGCTGAAAATTCGCTGTAAATTGGTTCACCTCAGTCTCTCTGCGGCCGGGAGTGCACTCTCATGCCAAATAATGAATCGCCATTCACACTTCGCGAACTTTCTTTATTGAGATTATCTAAGGGTAAATGCCGAAGATTAAATGGGCATCAGAAAGCACCGGACGTCTCGTATTTTCGTTTGCGTATGTAAGCACAGTAGAATTTACTGCCTGACAGGTACTAAAGAAAATAGTACTCCTTATAATCGTGATTGTTTTTCGAATACGAAGTGAAATGTTTTCTGTAACATTGTTGTTAAATAATGAATCTCAAAACGCGATACAAGTACGCACTTTTGCCGTTATATATTCTTGAAAGTTCAAATAATTTGATCTAATGGGCGCGTTTTTGAAGATTAAAAATTTGAATTTGGGAGGAACATAATGGTAAATTGGTTAATAAATCCGTGGCTTGTGTACGGTCCTCTTTACAGAACATCCAATTTCCGTATCAACAGTGAGACGAAAACATTTTATCTTCGTTAATGATGATCGATTTTTTTCTACACTTCATTACAAAAGTAATTAGACATCGAATAATTAGCATTTGTAGAACAAGGTGCTGAACGTTGAAGGTGAAGTAACGATTATATATATATATAATTATATATATATATATTATATATATATATATTATTGTGTTGTGTGGTGATGTGTGTGTGTGTGAGGTGTGTGTGGATGATTGAGTGTGTGTGTGTGTGTGTGTGTGTATGTTGACTAATTTTGGTGTAATGAAAAGGAAATTTAGAATCGAGTTTTTGTTGTTGTAAGTAACGATTTTGAGCATCTCTACCGTATTTCAATCGCTTAGAAAACTACAATCACATTCAGAAATTACATGGGATTTACAATATTTATATTAGGAAATCGTTACATGTCATATCAGTGTAATTGCAAGGTATGATATAGGTTTTTTATCTGCCTAATTAATGCGTTAAGGAATTACTGTTTTTGACACTTACTTAGATTTTTAATACGAAAGAATAACGTAATTTTCATAATTTGCCTTTAAGTGCCAAAATTGTCCATGTAAAAACCTCAAATCCAGAAAAAAGTTGCAATTTTTAGGTTTAAAAGTAGTTTCCTCATATTTTCTGTGGACGTGAGTATACAATACATTTTCTTTCTATATTATTTCACTGTTTTATGAACAGACGCAAATTCCATATTATTACGATTTTTATTTATTCCTGTTCTTCTTGCAATGCTTTGCCTTTCATTTCCACGGAACATCATGTACAGGACATAATAGCACAGTTGCAGTTAACTAAAACTCAGACATAAACTTTGTGGCCAAATTTCAAGAATTTACATCACACATTTTTTAAATAGTTGAAAACATTTCTGAATATGGTAGAAGGGCAGTGAAATGAATTTCTGTTGTGAAGCCTGTTTCAAAAAATACAAAAACTGGATAGGCAAAGAAGAAAGGGGTGATTTTATATGTATTGTTATATTCATATGTATTATTTCATTTGCCATCCCTTGGCTATCCATCTGAAGTGTTTAAATAGTTCATCTTCCATTAGAATTATCAATTAGGATTTTTATTTGAAACGAGATAATATAAAAATGATAAAAACTTGTTACATCACACATCAGTATAACCATTGACATATCTTAGCAGAATTTGCCTGATCAATTCAAAATACATTTTCGAGAGAACATCCAATGATTCTTTTCATGAAATTCGATTCTTTGCTTAATAATTCTTAGTTTCGTATAAATAATTTTACATCTTATTTCATCCCCTTCGTTAAATTGTAATTACGGGGTCTATACTTCAACTTTTTTTAGAGCCAATTTCTCCTATACTGTCTCTGTGAACCAGTTTCCCAATTTCGGCGTCGTCTAAAGGCGTGCGAACGCGTGCTTGCGCAGGTACGACTCGCTGACGGGCGTGCCGAGCTGCCAGCGCACGGTGGCGTTCGAGAAGGCGTGCGTGCTGTTCAACATGGGCGCCGTGTACACGCAGATCGGCGCCAAGCAGGAGCGCGCCTCGCCGCGCGGCCTCGACGCCGCCGTCGACTCCTTCCTGCGCGCCGCGGGCGTCTTCCAGTACATCCACGAGAACTTCACCAACGCGCCCAGCATGGACCTCGGCCCGGCCATGCTCGGAATGCTCGTGCAGCTCATGTTGGTACGTGCTCGAGCGCGGGGCTCGCGGCGCGGCGGGGGAAGGTGTACGTGGACCATGTAGTAGGCTTCCGCGGCCGGAGTCGTGATCTGGGCTGTCCGGGTGACGCTGCGTCGAAGGATGAGGTGCCGACGTTTCGACTAACATATCGCGGTCTTCTTCAGAGCTGTAGTGCCGGTACTACAGCCCTCAAGAAGACCGCGATATTTTGGTCGAAGCGTCGATACCTCAGCCTCCGACGCGGCGTCACCCGGACAGCCCAAATCATATATGTAGATTTTATTCTTTGCGTCTTTTGCGCAACAGATCTCGTTAGCCCTTTTGGGGCATTGAGCGTACATACATTGGAATAATCCTCCTTCAGTTGTTTGTCTCGTAACGCCACGGTCAGTCAATGCCTTTTATCCCTTCGGCCAGGGGCCTGGCGCTGTTGGTAACCGGGGTTCCAAGACGGTCACCCGGGAATCCGTGGTGTCTCGAATTGCTTAGCTTACGATACTTCACGGAGCGTAGTAAAGCAATACGGATAACAAGGCCGGGGTTGGGGCGACGGATGGTGAGCACTAGAGGGGATAATTTCGTATTGGGGGGGGGGATCATCGGCAGATCGACGTGAGGTTTGGAAAGAAACATCTTACAAAGAAATTTAGGAAGCTACTTTGGCCTTGGAAGGAAATGCCTTTGGAATGGATTTGTGGAAACAGCTTAGGATAGAGAAAGGAGATATCTTGGGAAGGGAATTGTGACGTCTTATTGGAGAAGGGAAAGGAGACTTGGAGGAGATCGAAGAAACCCATTAGGACAGGAATGGTGTCATTGGGAGAAGGGTTTCGAGAGGTCAGCTTGCGATAGAGGAAGGGACGCCTTAAAAATAATTTGAAGGAACTTCTTAGGACATGAAAGGGAAACATCTCAAGAAAGGAATCGACGAACGTCTTGTGGAAAAAATCGACAGGTCAACGTGAGTTAGGCGAGAAAAGAACTTAAGGAAACTTCTTATGACAAGTATCTTAGAAAATGAATTGACGAAATTCCTTAGGATAGCGAAGACAAACATCGTGGACAAGTAATCGAGTGGACAACTTAGATCTGGAAAGTAAACGTGCCTTTACACTGGCAGTGTTTCCCGTCCGTTTCGGACAATAGTGTCGTCAGTAACGTGTGAACACTTGTGAGTGTTAACTGGCAAGTGTGTATAATCCATCGATAACACTGTCGTCCTAAAACTGACAAGAAACGACCCGTGTATGGCCATTTTAAAACATCTTACGAATGATGTCAAACGAACAAATTGGGAAAGAAAATTAATTGTGATAAGGATTGAGAGGACAAATGAGGTATAAGAAGGAAAATGATGAGAAGGAGAAAATGGTTAAATACAGGGAAATGGCAGTTTGAGAAAGGAATTGTGAATAATAAACCATTTTCAGAAGTTCTTTTAACTGTAAAGAGCGATTCTGAAGAAGCTGCTAATAAAGTTCTATCATTCAAGTGCTAGAATACGTTTTAAACATTATGATCTTTATGGTTACATAAACTTAAATATTATTGCCTTAAAATTTTTTTTGTAAATAACAATAAAATTTGCGTATGTTTCTTCGAAAGTGAACGATGATTTTAACGTTACTTCTTTCTTTAATCGTTTTTATTGTTGTTTTAATGTGAGTGTAAGAGTAATACTTACCCACTTAAGTCTCCCTAATGAGTGCTGTGTTTGCGTGGCGCCGCCTGAGTGGGCAGCGGTGTGAAGGTTCGGTGCGGTGGGGTGTTGCAGGCGCAGGCGCGCGAGTGCCTGCTGGAGAAGCTGGAGCTGCAGGCGCCCGAGCCGCGCTCGCTGGACGCCAGCCTGGACCTGGCGCAGGAGGCCGCGCAGGTGGGTGCCTCTCCCTTGCCGCATCCGCCTTTTAACCTTCGTACCACATCTGATTTTCTCTATCAAGTACTATACCTGGGGTCTTTTTGGACCCCAAGCTTTACTGTCAACTAGAAGTGGTATTTTTTTTTAATCATGACAATATGTTTTTAATCCATAACAATAGGTTGTAAAAGAATGGGAAAACTATAGACTATACCTTAGCTGGTCCCATTTAACGAAAAAAATAAATCTCTAAAAGAGTTTGTAATAATGGTTTGATAGGTGCTTAATAAGTGCATATCTAAAGTACTGAAATTATCCTGCAAATTTCCAAAAAATATTAACAAATGAATGATTGTTGGGTCCAAAGAGACCCCAAATATGGTACGAGGGTTAAGAAGAATGTGAATTCCCTACGCTGATCTTGTCAAAATGTGGCGAATTGAAGGTACATTTTCTGGCAAAATATAAGAGGAAGCACTGTGATTTTTTTCAGTGTGCACTTATCGCGTATTGAAATAAAGAAATTTTGTCAAGTTTTCGTAGCAACATGATTTGTGTCTTTTTACAAGGAAAGATGACGGAAAACGAAAACACAATAGATTTATTTGGCCTCGAAATCAATTCACTCACCCTCTAACCCCGGATATGTAACCTCTACAAAACCTCCTGTTTATACGCTTAGCATTAATTGTGAAAAGGCGCAAATAGGTTATGTAATTTCTTTAGGCAGGTGTAAATTGACATAATTTTACCGTTTTTTGCTTTCATGCCAGTGGTTGTTTGCGGTGATGGTACTGTAGTAGCACTATGCATGGGGGTGACTCGAATCAATATTGCTGCCGGATCGCGTTGAGAAAGATTTCAAGGACATAAATTACGTTTCCATGAATTCGTTTTACAAACGAATGTGAGCAACTCGTACAAAAGTGTCTTTGGCGTATTCATTTCGATATTCTGTCCTTTTGGTCGTCTCCGCGTCTAAAACCATTTCATTTCCAAGCCAAAGGCTCACTTTCTGTATAAAAAATTCAAATGCTAGATCTGGCGTGACATTTGTCGCTTAAAGTTATTGTATTCCTAGAAAGTTGTTGTTTTTTAAACACTTGCGACTGAGGGCTTATTTTAAAATTTCAAAAATAAACGGTGTATAATTTTCAATATCCATGTCAAAAGAGTAAAATAAGTTTTTTCTTAAAAATCCATCCCAAATGTACTTTTAACTAATTATAAATAACATAATGTTAATGTTGACTGTACGAGAGTATAATTGCAAATGGCATGGTCATGTTTTTGTTAATTCACTTGTTTATGTCCTCGCGTCTTTATTAACTTTTTTATTATGAATGGACCTTAAAAATGTATCTTGTGAGATTAATGTTCAAGTTCAAGAAATTTCATTGGTTTTAGTAGTGATGGCTTCTGTGTGTAGAGTATGTGTTTATTGTCTGCTTAAATAGTTAAACTTTCAGTGAAATGCTACTGGTCTTATAAAAAGATATTACAATAATAATAATAATAATAATAATAATAATAATAATAATAATAATATAATAAACAATATTAATAATAATATAAATAATATTAATAATAAAACCTAGAAGAATGGTATTTAATTTATCATTATTATTATCATTATTATTATTATTATTATTATTATTATTATCATCATTAATATTATTATTATCTCTGTGGTGTAAAGCAGTGTAGCCG